GAGCTAGCTCAGGCTAAGAAGCTAAGCTAACATGAAATACGTGCATACCAAGTTACTGCTAACAGTGTAGTTCCCCTATATAAACGTTACATTCATAATCAAATGAGACAATCTGCAAGAGAATTAGCTATATTTTGTTATTCTTAATGCTTGTCATTCACACGTTGAGAAAAGACGGACTCCACCGCCCGGACCTAACGGAGCCGCAGTAGGCTAGCTCCGGGACGCCGGCTGGAGCTAGCCCCCTGCGGCTCCGTTAGCTCCGGCGGCCATCACTGGGATAATTGGGTCCCCTATTAACATTTGCTCCCGTTTAGCATTATGGGCGTCATAGCCATAGACCAGTGCTTCTCAAAGTGTGGTCCGCGGACCACTGGTGGTCCGTGAGCGCCCACTAGTGGTCCGTGGGTATATTGGTAACATTTCACATTTGAAATAAATTAACTTATTTAAGTTTTCCGCACTCTTGCGGGAATATCTCTACAATGGAGCGAGTTTAAGTCTCACTTTTCGATTGCATGATATAGCCCAGCGCAACACCTTCATCACACATGTTGCCACTTGTTTGTACCATTTTCAGGCGATTTATAATTTGTTCTAAAAAAACGATGTGTTTTTGGATATTTGTGGAGTTAGGTGGTCCGCGAGTTTTTTTTTATTGGTTAAGTGGTCCTTGGTATGAAAAAGTTTGAGAAACACTGCCATAGACTATAAAAGTCTTACCCAAGGCTGAATCATAAACTAAAATGTATATGTATGCATAAAGGGTTACGTCCTTAGCTGGCTAATAAGTAACAAGCTAAGCTACCAAGCACACAAACACCTGCAAACGGGGTTAACATGTATAATATTATCATTTTAGACTTCTTGGAAGTTCTGTTAGTACATTCAAGCGCACAGCACGACATTTTAATTGTCTGGTATTTGTAACAATATTCCCTAAAAGGCACAATCACCACGAACACGGCTAAAGCTAAAGGGTCAAGTACAGTACTATGACTAACTAACGTTGTAGCCTCTATGGTTGTAGCCTAGCAGAGTGGACAAGTTGCTGTTAGCTGACAGTGAGGCATGTACGTGTCCATCAAAGTGACCACGCCCTAATTTATGCAACAACTTTAAAACCTAATATAAATAAAAGGGTCGTGTTAGAAAACAATTCACTCACAGATTCATAATCATGAAGGTGGAATCTAACTATATCGATAATCATATGTATTGCATCCATGGGTAGAAACATGTTTTTTTCTGCTGTAAAGTTGGGCATTTTAACATGGGGGTCAATGGAAATTGCTCCTTTCTGCAGCCAGTCCCTAGCGGCCCATGTATGAACTGCAGTGTGTGGCACTTCCGTATTGGCGTCCCGGCTGTTCCCCAGAGTTTGCCGCTTGGTCCCTACCTTTAGACTTAGCAGTACAGATGAATGTAGGCTCACTATTTGGCAAGCAACCGGTCACAGTTGCCCTGTATATCTCATGTCTTATAAAAGCTTATTAATGATTTAAAAAGTGTTCAAAACCGAATTAATAAATGAATTCCAAACTATGCGTAAACCCTCTGTAAGGGTAGTCTTATTGTAAAGTGGTACCGAAAAATCCAACCATCATTAAAAAAAAATGCTCTTAAAAAACTTAAATATGTTTAAACTAGGTTATTTTATGAACTTAATGAGTTCAAGATGCTGCCATATTTGAGTAAACGGTGCAACTTATTGACCTTATTACAATACACAGGAAACAGGAAACAAGGTTAATGTAAAGAAATTAAGTTACCAACTAAAGCTATCATTTCATTTTATTTGATATACTTATCTACAAGAGGTCTTGATTGTTGAGTAAGCGTCTAAATTGTGCAAATTATATATATATTTATATTTTGATCGTATTTAAAAAAACTCTTTAATATTTTACACAGGAAATATAAAACAAGGTAAACAAAAATAAATAAATACATAAATTAAAAAGCTAAGAGATAAATATATAAATAAATACAAAACTAAAATTGCTAATTTTAGATATAAAAATGTGTTTCCTGTGTATTGTAATATGGTTAATAAGTGGCACTGTTATACATAAAAATGTATTAATACATATTTAAAATATGAAGATTAAGATGTTAGATATATCATTTAGTTTATAAAATAAAATACTTAGAGGATAGTTTTTTTGATGGTTGGATTTTGTATATCTTGAGTGGTAGTGAACATCCATTTGATTTATAACCTTACATTTTAATATGCAGCTTCTTCATTTCCAGGACAATCTCAAGAGGCCTGCTGCTCTGGGACACATCATGAGAGTGAGGATGCTTCAGAGTGACCAAAGTGCCTCCGTGGAGCAACACTTTCATCTCTTCCTGTCTCACAAAGCCTCACTATATTTGCTCCGATGCACAACAGATACCCCTTATCGATCCCCCATTGGCTTACACTGCTGACGAATGTCACAAAGGCTTAATTCAAAGGGGGTTCAAAATAAGATTACTGATTTGTATCACCTGGCTGCAGCCGGCGGCAGACAGGAGGCAGAGAGATAGAGGAGGGAGAGACTCAAAACGCATCATAAATGAGCGAGGGGCCGCGGCACAAAGGGACAAATGAAGCCTTAGTGCTTCACAGCTTGCTCTGCTTTCAGGCTGCTGTAAATCATCACAAATTGTTTAATGCGCCAAATGAGTTATTTATGTTGACGGCTTTACACAGCAGGACTTGAAGGAGAGAAGGAAGAAATCAGAGAGTGGTTCAGGTGGGGTGACAGGAAAATCCATAGATTGCCTAAAGAGCGAGTTAACAGATGAGTCCTGGTCAGGGACGTGCACAGACATTTGGAGGGGCTTTAAACTGGAAAAAGCCCCCCCCCCCCCCCCCCCCCCCCCCGGGAAAAAAACACAAGACCTTTTGAAAATTCTAACTTGTTTTTAATGTAAAAGGTTCATAACAGAAAAACACAACACTGTCATTGCAAGTGACACTCAGTTGACTTCTATGTCAACTGCTAAATTCGTTATTCAGGCACATTTTTTGTTGTGCGGTCCATATCTCATTAAAATATCTAATGTTAGTAACTATTAAAGAAAAAATGGGGACAATTCTGTTTTAATGTAGTTTGACCATTGTAACTGATGTGCAGACATACTGTACTGATGAAATAGGGCTTCTAACTAATTACCTTAAATAAACTCACTAATGAAACCAGTTCAATTCACATTATTCTTATTATTCTTTATGAGCGCAGTAACGGTAAGGTATCGAATTACTTATTTATTTAGTATTCCATAATTTAATAACAGAGATTGACCATCTCTGTTATTAAATTATGGAATACTAAATAAATAAAACTGAAGTGGCAGAAATCCTACAATGAAGCGGGACAGTGAAGTGTTCTCCGTGAGAGGGTGATCAAGAAAAGAGAGCGAGCGGCCCCGTCGAGGGAGTTTACGGAGCAGAGTAAAAGACACAGAAGGACAGAAGCACAATAACAAGTATATGTAGGTGTTTTTTTTGTAAATAACCGACGGTGTCAAGAGGAAGTAAAGTCCCCTGATTTGTTTCTTACGCCAGGCAGGCATTTGGTGTGATCACCAGAGCCATATGAGGCCGGAGGGCTTTCCTTTGCTTCCAGCTGTCAGATTGTAAACAAAGTCACGTGACTGGGGGCAGATGACAGCGCTGACAAAGTGTGTTTCCCGCAGCGAGACGCTACAATACTAATTGTGGGCTTATCATATTGATTCGGCCACAACAGAAAACAAATAAAAACTGCTCTCTCCAGAGGGGCAGGTCAGACAAAAATGGCAAACGGGCTGTTGCCCGGGCAACATTAGCCCGGGCCGTACCTGTGCACGTCCCTGGTCCTGGTTAACATATTATGAATATATACATGTGGTGGCTCTGCTTTATCCGTGTATTCATGACCATGACACTGGTGATTGTGGGAAGATGCCAGGCTAAGCTAACAGCTAAAGATATATAATATATATATTAGATTTCTTGTTTTTTATATTTTTATTTTATGTCTGCACCATGACATCAAGTCAAATTCCTAGTATGTGTGAACCTACCTGGCAATAAACCTGTTTCTGATTCTGATTATGAAAGAACAGTAGCTACATGGAGGATTGCAAACATTGAATACTTATAAAGATGAAATGGGACTCAATACAAGTTTCCATCTTTAGTGTTATTAACAATATGAATCTTATGCTTAACTACTTTTTATCTCGAAAAACAATATCAAGTCTTGGTACCAGTTTTATAAGACATACCATTTGTTTTGGTTATGTTTAGTTTGCCAAACATTTTCGACCTGTGACCCCTTACAGGGAATAACATTGTTCCATTATTATTATATTTTCTTATTAATTAAAAAAAAGAAGGAAATAATAATAATATTCTTTTCAACTTGTTTTCTTTTTCCTATGTATTCCATTATTTCGTTTTTAATGGGAATATATTTCCCTGGTCAAAATATATTAGGAAATATTTGAAACCTATATATTTGGCTCAATTTAATTTTTTCCGATGGGACATTTTCCGTTTTTAGAGTTTATTGGCAGTAGATATTACCACTTCTACAATGTAAACCCAACAGGTGTAAATACGGGTCTATCAGCAACAAACGTCCCAACCCACTTCCTGGTTATCCAGATGCTTCTGCACAGATTATGTCCCTGACATATGTGCCACTGGCTGGCGTATAGTGCATGTAACGGCTTTGATCTCCAGTCAAATTGGATGTCAATCATGATGCCATCTGGTGGAACCCAATACAAGGCTCACCAACAAGGTCGTATCCAAGGGCTGAGCCTCATCCGCACCTTTAATCTGGATCAAAATATTAAAGGCATCATGGCTGACAGCCTTTAATCATTTTGATGTGCCGTTAAAACGAGCCTCTCTCTTTAAGGCGGGTAGTGTGGGCTGCTGCTGGCTTTTAGTGTGAGCCGCTCTGACAGATGTGGCGCACGCTGGTCAAATATTCATGGATGTCAGGATCACCTACCATAGAAAGAGAGCTTCCCTTTCACTGTGTTCATCCCCCTGGAGTTCTCCGCCACGCACTCGTACGTGCCCGCGTCCTCCTGCTGGAAATACGGGATCTCCAGGACGCCGCTGGCTTTCCTCATGTCCACTTTCCTGGGGAAGGGGACACCGTCCACTCTTTTCCAGGTGATAGACGGTACCGGGCTGTGTGAAGAGACATGGAGACGTTAAACTGCTTCAGATTTTGTGAATGAGTCCTTCTTAAGGGTGGACACATTTTTAAACAAGTGCAGATCCTCAAGATCAAGAGACCTGAATAATCCGGTTTGAAAAGATAGATAGATATTGGTTTTATAAATCATGTGAAGACTACAATGCACCTAACATCCCCAATCTAAATGCATCACATACATTTTTTATTTATATTTTTATATACAGTAGTGACGAAATAATTGTAAAAAGAGCTGATTATGAGAAACCAACTAAAGAAATATGTACGTATGTAACTTTAAAAAATGCACAATTAATGCAAAAGAAAGGCGTCTAATAGTGAAAATAGTTCATATTTATTAGTTAAATTATGAGACACTCAAAAATACCAGAACATGTAAAACAAAAAAACAAAATGAAGCTATTATATGTTTTTTCTATGAAGTGCACGTTACTTTACCACAGAAAATATACAACAATTCAAAATGCAGTATATAAACCCCAAATATTTGTAATCAGAATGTGTGAAATTGTTTGATTGCCAACATTCCTGAACTGCGAGAAAGAAAATGCCATTATCTTTACATACAAACTAATAAGAACTCAAAGCACTGTTTGGATTTATCATGTGTCCCTTAATTTGCAATATTTCGGGGGTTTATGGATTTACTTTGGTCTTTAAGGATCAAAGTAATACTATTACACCATAAATGTACTTTATACTCGGCAGCTTCAACATATTAGGTATACCTTAAGTTTAGGGGCTTACTGCAGTTGTTCATAATTCTACGCTTCAGAACATCGTCTTCCAAAACCTGAAGATTTCTCTGAATATTTATACACACCAACATGTGCTTTCTAACAGATGCACAGCCTTACTTGAAACACACGAGGCTTGCACCAACGCAGTGACACATATGAAATAAATATCCCCATGGCTTTGAGTGAGTCTGAATAAGAGTGGGCTTACTTTCCCAGAGCGAAGCACTCCAGCTTTACAGTGGATCCTTTGGCAACATGAACAAGCTCTGGAAACTGAACCTCAATCTTTGGCTCGTATTCACCCATCACACCTGAAAGAGAAATGCAAATGAGTGTCAGTGTTAATGCAAAAAGTTGTATTTTGAATTTGTAACTCGAGCTAAACAAAAAAATGAAACAGTAGCTGTGGCTTCTGCTACTGAAAACCTTTTCAAGTAAAGCCGTCTTTTCACAAGAAATGCTTTTTCAACTTCCAACACAATCTGAGCAGCAGCAACAATCTCCGCGCTGTCACAGAATGCTCTCCCGTTGAAAGTAATAAGAAAAAGAAAGCGAAACACAGCTCTTCAGTGGACATGCAACACGCTGATGTTGAATGGAAAAAACAACTTTGAGAATTCATAGACGGTTTTGAGCCCTTACATCTAGATGAGTTTCATCTTGTTGTAGTGCTAACAGCTATGAGCACAAAAGCAGGCCTATAAAACCCCCCGGGGGACCCTCTCTGTGTCTACAAAGCATCTCATTCTCTCTCGGGGGAGGCAGCTCTGGTGGATTATAATATTGCTGTTGTGCATCCTCTGGATAAAGGACAAGACTGGAATGTGTCACTGTGGTATTCATGAATCACCACAGCAGTGTTGATAATCATTAAAAAAGCAAACACGTATTTTGTAGTGCTGGAAACCTTAACGCTTAAAAGTTTCACCCCAATTTCCACCATTAATTTCATCACAGATTATTATTTTAGATTGCATGGCAGTGAATAGGCAAAGACAGGGAAGGAAATAGCACAAGCCACATGTGTTGCACTGACTTGACATCAGTAGAAGCTATAACTACCTCAGTGTAACGGCATTCTGATCTATAAAAAAGGCAATGGCATTCGCTTTATGTGTGCTGAAATCGGAGGAAAGGCTTTTTGCTGAAGCATGTGCTAGCCAGTTTCTCAAAGTCGCACAGGACTGGGTTATAGCGGACAAGGTCAGCACTGTAAGAACAGATAGTGCCCGCAATATGATAGCAGCAGAGAGAATACTAGCATTTGAGCTTATGCTCTGTGTAGCGCACGTTATACAGAGGGGGGTCGTACGAATTCCACCAAACGATCTTACTGTGTTGCAAACATTCAGAGGTGGGAAGTAGTCGAGTACAAATACTTCGTTACTGTGATTAAGTACATTTTTCTGGTATCAGTACTTTTGTCACGATTCTCATGTTATGTCACGTTTTTAGTTTTGTATGTTTGGGTGTTTGCTGTCATGTTTTCCTCCGTGTATATTGTCTGGTCCTTTTCCCTGTGTTTTTCCTCCCGTCGTTAGTTTCCCTGGTGTGTCTAGTTGTCTGATTGTGTTCACCTGTTGTCCTTGTGTTTCTCCTCCCCTGCCCGGCTGTTTCTCGTCTCGTGATTACCCCTCCCTGTATTTAGTCTTGTCTCTTCCTGTGTTCAGTGTTGGTTTGTCTTTTGTTGTTGACTGAGTTCACCTGAGTTTTGTCTGTATTAGTTTCATTATCCTTGAAATAAAGGTTTATCAGAGTTATCTGCATTTGGGTCCTGCTTCCTTCACTCAACCGTGACAGTACGAACCAACCAGAAATGGACCCAGCAGATGATCCTTTTGAGGTGGAACTACAACATGTTTCCTTTTATTTGGCTTGCTGCTATGATTGGTGGAAGGGAGCGTCCAGTGTTCTGCAGAAGGAGGCCTCTCAGGTAGAGGCGCACCGGTTGGCTATGGAGAAACCAGACTTGGTGAAATTCTTACCTGGCTGGATTTTGAACTTCCTCTGGGTGTGTGATTTCCAGCCTGCTGACTACAAACGTCTCGGTGTGTTCCGTCTGGAGTCAACCCATGCTTCTGCCCCAGTTCCTGCTCCTGTCCAGGAGTCGTATTCTGGAACTCGTCTGGCTTATGGAGGTCCACGGCGTATTCAGGCGGCTGCTAAGAGCCGCCTGAATACAAGGCAAGGCCAAGCTAGCAGCCCGAGCCCCAAGAGCCATGGTTCCAGCCCCAGTACTGGCCCCAGCAACCATGGTTCCAGCCCTGGTTCCAGCCCCAGCAGCCATGGTTGGGGCTCCAGTACAGGCCCCAGAAGCCATGGTTCCGGCAACAGAACCGGCCGACACAGCCATGGCTCCGGCCTCAGTTCCGGCCCCAGCAGCCATGGTTCCGGCTTCAGTACCGGCCCCAGAAGCCATGGGCCCGACACCAGTTTCGGCTACAGGGCTGGCTCCCCAGCCGACATCAGCTCCCAGAGTCTTGTCGGCGTACCGGCCGACTCCAGCACCTCGTCTCCTGCTGGCACTCCAGCCGACGGCAGTTCCCCGAGTCCTGTCGGCGTACCGGCCGACTCCAGCACCTCGTCTCCTGCTGGCTCCCCAGCCGACGCCAGCTCCCGGAGTCTTGTCGGCGTACCGGCCGACTCCAGCACCTCGTCTCCTGCTGGCTCTCCAGCCGATGCCAGCTCCCCGTGTCCTGTCGGCGTACCGACCGACACAAGTCCCCTCTCAAGTTCCCTCTCGACTTCCCTCTCAAGTCCTCTCTCAAGTCTCCTCTCCAGTTCCCTCTCAAGTCTCCTCTCCAGTTCCCTCTCAAGTCTCCTCTCCAGTTCCCTCTCGAGTCTCCTCTCCAGTTCCCTCTCGAGTCTCCTCTCGAGCCACCTCTCAAGCCACCTCTCGAGTCCCCTCTCAAGTCTCCTCTCGAGTCCCCTCTCAAGTCACCTCTCGAGTCACCTCTCGAGTCTCTTCTCGACTCCCCTCTCGAGGCTCCTCTCGAGTTCCCTCTCAAGTCACCTCTCGAGTCCCCTCTCAAGTCTCTTCTCAAGTCCCCTCTCGAGTCACCTCTCAAGTCCCCTCTCGAGTCACCTCTCGAGTCACCTCTCAAGTCTCCTCTCGAGTCCCCTTTCAAGACAATTCTCAAGTCACCTCCCGAGTTCCCTCTCAAGTCACCTCCCGAGTTCCCTCTCGAGTCACCTCTCCAGTCCCCTCTCGAGTCCCCTCTCGAGTCTCTTCTCCAGTCCCCTCTCGAGTCTCCTCTCGAGTCTCCTCTCGAGTTCCCTCTCAAGTCCCTACCCAATGTCCTGTGCTGTTGGAGGCCCCGCCGTCTACTCTTCTGCTGGGGGTCCTGCCAACCCTATGTCCTGTGCCGTTGGAGGTTCCGCTGAGGGTCCTGCCAACTCTATGTCCTGTGCCGTGGGAGGCCCCACGACTACTCTTCTGCCGGGGGTCCTGCCAACCCTATGTCCTGTGCCGTTGGAGGTTCCGCTGAGGGTCCTGCCAACTCTATGTCCTGTGCCGTTGGAGGCCCCACGACTATTCTTCTGCCGGAGGTCCTGCCAACCCTATGTCCTGTGCCGTTGGAGGTTCCGCTGGGGGTCCTGCCAACTCTATGTCCTGTGCCGTTGGAAGTCCCGCCGACTACTCTTCTGCCGGGGGTCCTGCCAACCCTGTGTCCTGTCCCGTTGGGGGTCCCGCCGTCTACTCTTCTGCCGGGGGTCCTGCCAACCCTATGTCCTGTGCCGTTGGAGGTCCCGCCGACTACTCTCCTTCCGTGGGTCCTGCCAACCCTGTGTCCTGTCCCGTTGAGGGTCCCGCCGACGACTCTTTTGCCGGGGGTCCTGCCAACCCTATGTCCTGTTCCGTTGGAGGACCCGCTGAGAGTCCTGCCAATCCCATGTCTTGTACCGTTGGAGGTCCCGCCGTTACCTGTCTCGCCGGGGGTCCTGCCAACTCCTGGTCCTCTTCCGTGGGGGATCCTGCCGAAGCCTGTCCCACCGGCTCTGGTTCCTGTCCGGCCGACACCGGGTCCTGCCCGGCCTCCGGAGCTGTCCCGTCAGCGCCTTCCTGCCCGGCCTCCGGGGCTGTCCCGTCAGCGCCTTCCTGCCCGGCCTCCGGAACTGTCCCGTCAGCGCCTTCCTGCCCGGCCTCCGGGGCTGTCCCGTCAGTGCCTTCCTGCCCGGCCTCCGGAACTGTCCCGTCAGCGCCTTCCTGCCCGGCCTCCGGGGCTGTCCCGTCAGCGCCTTCCTGCCCGGCCTCCGGAACTGTCCCGTCAGCGCCTTCCTGCCCGGCCTCCGGGGCTGTCCCGTCAGCGCCTTCCTGCCCGGCCTCCGGAGCTGTCCCGTCAGCGCCTTCCTGCCCGGCCTCCGGGGCTGTCCCGTCAGTGCCTTCCTGCCCGGCCTCCGGAACTGTCTGGTCTTCGCCCTCGAGCCCGGCCCTCTGAGAGCCCGGCCCTCTGAGAGCCCGGCCCTCTGAGAGCCGCGGTCTTCGCCTTCGAGCCCGGCCCCCTGAGAGCCGCGGTCTTCGCCTTCGAGCCCGGCCCCCTGAGAGCTGCGGTCCTCGCCCTCGAGCCCGGCCCCCTGAGAGCCGCGGTCTTCGGCCTCGAGCCCGGCCCCCTGAGTGCCGCGGTCTTCGGCCTCGAGCCCGGCCCCCTGAGTGCCGCGGTCTTCGGCCTCGAGCCCGGCCCCCTGAGAGCCGCGGTCTTCGCCCTCGAGCCCGGCCCCCTGACTCTTCCTGCCGCTGCCTTCGCCCTCATGCTCGGCCCCCTGAGTTTGCCCGCTGTGGTCTTCGCCCCTCCATGGACTCTACCTTGCCCCCGGGCCGTCCGCCCGAGACCCCCACCTTGGACTTTGCCTTGCCCCCGGGCCGTCCGCCCGAGATCCTTTCCGGGCCCTCCGCTGTCCAAAACCCGTCCTCCAGACCCCCTCCACCCACCCTGCTTGAGGTTTTGGACTTTTGTGGGTTTTTTTTTTAGGGACGTCTGGAATCCGTCCCTTGAGGGGGGGTTCTGTCACGATTCTCATGTTATGTCACGTTTTTAGTTTTGTATGTTTGGGTGTTTGCTGTCATGTTTTCCTCCGTGTATATTGTCTGGTCCTTTTCCCTGTGTTTTTCCTCCCGTCGTTAGTTTCCCTGGTGTGTCTAGTTGTCTGATTGTGTTCACCTGTTGTCCTTGTGTTTCTCCTCCCCTGCCCGGCTGTTTCTCGTCTCGTGATTACCCCTCCCTGTATTTAGTCTCTTCCTGTGTTCAGTGTTGGTTCGTCTTTTGTTGGTGACTGAGTTCACCGGGGAGTGTTCTGTTTTGTCTGTATTAGTTTCATTATCCTTGAAATAAAGGTTTATCAGAGTTATCTCCATTTGGGTCCTGCTTCCTTCACTCAACCGTGACAACTTTACTCCACTACTTATTTTTCTGACGATTTTTTACTTTGACTTCTTACATTTATAACACAAATACCTGTACTTTCTACTTCTTACATGTTGAACACAAATACCTGTACTTTCTACTTCTTACATGTTGAACACAAATACCTGTACTTTCTACTTCTTACATGTTGAACTCAAATACCTGTACTTTCTACTTCTTACACTTTGAACCCAAATACCTGTACTTTCTACTTCTTACATGTTGAACTCAAATACCTGTACTTTCTACTTCTTACATGTTGAACACAAATACCTGTACTTTCTACTTCTTACATGTTGAACTCAAATACCTGTACTTTCTACTTCTCTCATTTTCCAAACAGGCTGGTTCCTTTAGTTTGAATGTGTGTTTGGTGGCGTGGTCATTATTCTTTAGAGTCATTGCGTGCCTATTGATTTGAACACGATCCGTGTATCCATCATTTCCTGGTCTTCTCTAAAGAAGAGGGACCAATGAAAACGTTGTCATGTTGCCGTTGTTCAGCATGGAAACATTCATTAGCTAACAATGACATTATTGTTCTATTAATATAAAGGGAGGTCAGGTACTCTTTAAAACAGCTGGGAGTTATGGGTACTTTTTACTGAAGTACATTTCAAAGCCCATACTTCTTTTATTTTACTTGAGTAAAGAAGTTTAGTCAGTACTTCTACTTTTACCAGAGTATTTTTAAACACAAGTATCTGTACTTCTACTTGATTAAAGGATGTGTGTACTTTTGCCATCTCTGCAAACATTATACATAGGGGAATCCCAGTATGAAGACCATATGTACATATGTGTAGCAAACTTTGAACATATGGGAATCGCAGTATGAATACTACCATGCGAGTAAATGCCATGTGTAGCACATATTATACAGAGTGTCCGAAAACTGTCCGATGTCATGCAAATAATTAACATGTTATTATTCAATTCAATTCAATTCAAAACCTTTATTTATCCAGGTAAAATCCCATTGAGATCAATGATCTCTTTTTCAAGGGAGACCTGCAGATTATGAAGTAAAAAACCCTCAGATCATTCTCACCAGTTCATCCTGGATTTCTTTATCGAACTACCACCCATGTTTTGATTTCCCCAAACTTAATACTAGTATTTTAAACGTGTGTGCTATCATGATTTTATCGATATATATATATTGTGATCAGCGCAACACATATTTTTGAATTGACCGATTGACACCATTACTATGATTGTCTTTCCCTTCAATGACACTGAGGTAATGAATTAGTTATGGTTGGCATATAGGGCTGCACGATTTATCGAAATGTGGTCAAAGTTGCAGAATGAACTAATGCAATATCCAAATCGCAGTAAGAGCAATATTCTGGTTTAAGTTTTGCAGACAAACTGTATTCTGCAGACTAAATAAAACATCCTTGTTCGGTAGAGATCCTCCAAATCACAGCATGATCACTTAAATATATTTTTCAATGATAATGTGAATACCGTTCCCTCTAATATTGCGAATTGTATCTCAATAGTGCAGCCCTATTGTCATTTCATCCCTCCTAGCTGGCTGCATACAATGCTATTTTGAACCACTCTCATCCACCGGTGTAACAATAGTTTTCGCCCCATTGCTGTAATTCAGGGTTTTGTTGCAAATAGCTCTAGAGATGGAGGAAACAGGCCAATTTCATCTCATTGATTTGGCGAGGCATGTGTTATCAGGATGGCTCCCTGTGTGACTGTGAAAGCTAATTCAGATCCTTATCACTTCTGTCTCATACTGGAATGTAACCACAGCACTATCACCCATTTTAAGCAGACAGGTGGAAGTGGACGGGTAATTGTCTCATACTATAACCTTTTGTAGGGGACACCTGTTTAATGGCCCCCCCCTCCAACCGTACCTCAACACCCATGACCGCGGTGAAGCTCGTGTTCTGCTTCCCTCGGAAAAGCAAAAGTATAATGAAAAAGGAAAGAAGGAGGCAGATAAGGAAGGGGATAGCTTGAGAAAACGATCTCTGAAATCGCAAAAGCTATTCGCAATGCCTTATGTCAAGCAATGGAAATGTTCTCCACATTCCTTCTTAATTTAAAAGATTTTAAATGCTAAAATAATGTTTGCAAGCAAGATGTTTTCTTAAATATTATGAAAGATTCCAGTGCTTGTGCTCATGAATGTGGGAATCTGATTGCCTACGAACGTATTAAAATGTTTAAATATTACGACGCAGTAATGTTTTCATATTCAATCCTATGTCACATGCATTGAATACAGGGGCGGCGGGTACTGTAGGCTAGGGAAGGCTAAGCGTTACTAAATATTTTTGTCACTGCATCCTGGTAAAAGAAAAACATAATGTATAATGTTTGTGTCTTTGACATTAGCGCTGCTATGCAGCCACCTGTGCCCTGTACTACGAACCTAGTTCAACAGACCCTAGATATGTTTGAGTTATCTTAACTAACCGTCAGGTAAAAAAAGTTATTTAGCCTTCCCAAACCTGAGCCTCACGCGCCGCCTATGATTGAATATGATTTGTCACCATCATATAGGAGATGCAGGGTCCCATGACTGAATAAGGTTAGACTAAAGCACTCTTTCGTGCACAAGTAAGTCTTAAAAATGAAATACAAAGTTTATTCCCAGATTAAAAATATGTGAGAATGTCTGTTTCATTGTTTCTTAAATGTTTTTCAATAATGATGTTGCAAATGGACATACTGTGATGCAAGGAAATTGTGCCAAAGAAGAAAATGAATGAGTAACCTTGTAAGTGCCAACCTGAAAATAGTCATAATATGTCCTGTTTTAACAAGAGTTGTAATCAAATGAATATCAGGGTTACCTAGACACAATGTTTGCCTTATGTCATATGTTTTGGTTATGTTTTGCTGATTTGAGGATCAGCCAAACCAGCTTCTGGAATAAATGGAAGACGAAAACCATACAAGACATTTCTAATGAATATAACATTTAGCTGCATATTTATTTTGCTGCATTACATTAGATATGGAGCATCTCTCTAGGACAGAAGCCTACAATTAGATGACTTGCTGACAGTGACCTTTCCTCCAGAGTGCCTTGATAAGGCCAGCCTAAAGCATCACATCCACATGTTAAAGGACATGCTGAAATTAGCAGAGAAATAGATAATTAACCTTTGGATTTAATTTGTATTCATTAAAACCACTCTGTACCATCAAGCCTTTTTTGTTTAAACTGGACCAAACTGGTCCCACTTATGCATTACACACTTTGTATCCCATCAGTAGCTAGTGTAGATTATCTTAAGGGTTTTGAATTGATGCTGTTGAAAAAAGTGGTTTGAATAATGCTCCAATAGATTCAAGTGCTGTAATGAAAAATGGAAACTGTCATGTTCGAAGTTTAGCAATTTCGACGTAAAAGTGTGGTGCACTGATGACGTACTTTTGTAGACCGACCCAGTAATATTGGATAATAATATTTACAATACTTTCATGTTTTGTTGTGCAAGATAATCTTCCCATATTAACAACACTTTTATACGTAATACTATAAACAAACTACATGGTCGCACAGATCATCACCGCTAAGCCAAAGGCGGACTCAATGTGATAAAGTTGCGCTGTCTCAGTCATAGGAGCTTCAGAAATTCAGTCATTACTGCCGTATTTCATGTCTTAGAACAAAAAGTGAAAATATCGTAAACTTGTTTTAACCAAAGATCTTTTTTCAGGCATCTGACAAAACATTTTTGGAAGGCTGAAACCTGAAACTCCAGCCTTAGACATCAAAAACAGATGTGAACTTAACATCCACATTGGAAAAGGGGTAATCATGTGGAAAAGCATGGATTTGATTAGACCAACTTGATACAATTAGGAGGCGACATTTGCATTTAAATAAACATACCAATGAAAGGCTACTGTAAGCAGATTACGAGAAACAGTGTGATATCCAGTGCATTTCCTGGAACAAATTCCAAGGCCAACAATTGTTTTAGCTGTAGTTAAAGTTTTAGTTGGTTAGTTTGCATGTTAAAAAGCATGGCTCACCATCGCTGCGGAGCACTAGAGGAGTGGGCGGACCCTCCACTCGGGACTTTGTGACGGTGTTAGTCACCACACAGGTGTAGTTTCCAACATCCGAGGGCTCCACTTTGGCGATGTACAGATTACCCGTCTCCTGGGAGATGAAGCGCCGAGTGTCCTGCATCACAAATGTCGGGTACTCGTTAAAGATCCAGGAAAACACGAGATCTGTGGATAAAGAACACAAGAGAATTATTACTTTAAATGAGACTTGAATACGGTTTTGTAACAGCGTTTTGGACCTCCTGAGGGTAGCGAAATTAATAGAGTTATATCACGCTAAGGTGAGAATTGACGACAGGATCAGTCAGAGGTTGCGAACAAATGCAATTATCTGGAGTCTTTGGAGATGGCCATTTTTCAAGCGGATGAGGTCTGAATACTCAACTAGGGATTTGGAAGACACTAGGGTGAGTTGCCATGAGTAATTATACATCCGTAGACAAGCAACAGAGATGTTTACTAATGACAACCACAAGGACAAAAATAAATGTTAACCATTTACAGTAAGGTACATGACATCTTGAGTTGCTAATGAACTGAACAAATTGTGGTGCACATTGGGTATTAAAGCAAATTATACCCATTTCTGTGTTTCCTTCATTAACATTGTGCTAACCAACTGACAAACAACACCATTTATAAAAAAGACAATTAAAGACATTTGACAGGATAAATGGGATACAACATAGGCAAAGGTGCAAACAATCGATCAGTTGATACATACATTACAAAGACATGTAATTTAATAGTTACACATAATATTATTATCGTAGAATAATAATAATAATAATACATTGCATTTCAAAGCGCTTTTCCAGGTGCTCAAAGACGCTTTACAGTGGTGATAAAACATGATAAAATAGAATTTAAAAGAAGTAGTTAAAACAGGATGCTATATGCTAGCAACAGGTATACTGTAATGATTTAGGAAACTGCTGAGCTATAGATAGAAGTCCATCATTCACGGATGACATGATGTCAAAGTTTGACAGGAATGGTACGGGAGAGCCGTTACCATGACACTTAGGGTCAAAATGTTCTGGAATAAGGTGAGAACCATCCTTTTCTCAAATCACATTTCACCCATCGAGGAACCAGCTGAAGGGGAGACTTATCACTAACAGGAAGTAGAGCATCATGTTGGAAAAATACTGTCAGACTGCTAAAATCAATAAAACATTGTTGGAGTTTAAATGTCAACCGTTGTGTCCCCCATGTCATATCATTGTGCTTGAGTATTTAAAAAATGAGTCAAACACACATTTTGACGTCTTGAGATCCTCTTAAAAAATATATTTTCTTGATTGTCACACTCACTGACAGAAGTATTATAATTCATCCACAGACATCATCTCCACCATAATCTCACAGAGATATAAGGAATGTGATGATGCAGAAATAATACGACCGAACAAACTTCATTTTACAACCTTGTGTCCTGTAATTTAAAATGTAGCATTGTTTGTAATTGCTAATGCATGTTGTGCTCCACATGTAAAGTAAGGGAAATACAGAATGTCTGTCACGTAATATTTTTCATAATTCATGCCTCCATTTATCTTTCAGTAGCTGTGTTGAATGAATTGGATTCAGTATGTCAGCAACCAACTTCTTGATAAATTACATTATTGAAGTTTAACCAGCCTTACCCTAACCCTAACGAAAGCGTCTGAAAAGTGAAGCTGTAGCAGAATTGCCTTCTTATTATACATCCATGATCTATTCTCATCCACCATCTTTGTTTGGGACGATAAGAGTGTAAGAGTCACGTTTCTGAATCGGACACTCTGAGTGGATGCAGTCACAGCCAATCGGAGTCTGATTCAGAGTCGGTTCCGTTGTTATGTGTACTGAAACGAGAGCCGGTATAATTCCACGCGCGAAAACTAAATAAAAGTTGGAATATGTTATTTTAGTGTCTTAAAAGTAGACTGAGGTATGGCAAGGAAGTTTACTACAGCTGAGGCTTTGGAGCTGATTTTTCAAGGGGACGATGTCGATGAAAATTCAGACGAATCTGCTCAGCATGCCATGTGTGATCGTGGACAGGAACTGCCATGATATATATCATGTGTAGTCTTCAAAAAATTACAATTCCTGGCAAGAAAACGCCCATGGACACTGCCCAAAATAATGGGCATGACTAATTAAGTTACAATCTTCTAATCAGTTCTGATACAATGATAATACATGTGTGCAAATGTCTGTGTTGAATGTTTCTTTCAATGTTATGGTTAGCAGTTATTTTTAGGGATGCACGATAATTATCGGCCCGATAATTATCGGTCCGATATTAGGAATTATGACGTCATCCCGATAAACCCGATACCAGTATTAATAGCCCCGATAATATACAATATATTTTTTGGATAAAAAAAAGGAAAAAAAATACTGCGGTGTGGGTGGATTGGGATGAGGGGCGCTTGTTTTTCACTCGGCTCCTCCCGTTTTGTAAGTACTGTGGTATTAGTGGTTTAGGAAGAGGGGAGTTCTTCACAAATCCAGCGCTCCCTAACTCGTGCCTGGCTGTGACGTAAATGGTGTGCGGCCGTGAAGCCAGGACAGTAAACAAACATGTCGTCGGTGGTATGGGCGTTGGAGCTATGTGCAACTCAAGGCATATGCTCGAACCGGAGCTGCCTGGACGCTGCAATCATGTTGTGCACTATCCGTGCTGAGTGTGCTGACTTTTCGTACAATGTCCCACTGTCTGGCTTCCTGCATAAAGTCAAGTGCTCGGCGCAGTTGTGGCGAAATGTCGCTCCTCTGTTTTCATTTAAACAGCTCCGTATATCGGTTAGCGCAGCTAGCTAGCACCAGATGCTAACAACAACAATGCAGGTAAGGTCTCTCTCTCGCTCGCTCGGGCCACACATACACACACCCTCCCGGTCCTCCAGATAGCCAGTCGGTGCCTGCCGGTGAGCGTGGAAGTGTGGTCTGCCACAAGCGGGCGACAGGAGCGGGGCTGTCAGCATCAGCTTGTAGATGGTATTTTAAACACGATGTGCTCTGAAACTACGGGGCGGCCGAGGACAAAAAATACACATGCGTTAATCGCGTTAAAATAATTAGTGGCGTACATTTTTTTTTATTATCGGTATCGGTCTTGAGAAGCAGGAAGTTATCGGTATCGGTTTCAAAAAACCAATATCGTGCATCCCTATTATTTTTAATGAAATAAGTCAAAAATGCAAGCTCGGTTTATTTATGGGCAAATATCCCCTATTATAGTGTATATAAGTCTCTAATGAGTGACATATATCATTAGCTGAGGTTGTGCTGATTTCTGGGATGTGTAAAACTTGATTATACTGCAAATAAATTACAATTTATAAGGCAAAACACAAAAATATACAAAAACGGAAATGTCCTATGTGGGTCTCAGAGGGTTAAGGTAAGTAGGGAATGCTAGACGGTAGGGATACCTTGGGTTTGACAAGTCACTCTTCTGGTTAAAAACCAACAACACAGCAACTGCTTGAATGACAAACTTAAGTCCAATAGCCCTCAAACTAATAGGTGACATCACATGAACTACATTTGCTTCGTTATACAGTCCACAAAGTCAACTAAATGTTGTGACCTAATCTTCTACTTTGCAATTAGTAGAATTGACAGGCATACATTATATTCCTGCTGAGCTTAAAACATGCCTTTCGTTTAGGGGACTAGCAATTAAACAAAACATTATTGGAGGATGCCCTCGTCTCCCATAGCTACTGGGCCATTTACCTCAGCATGAACCTCTCCTCCTGCTGGCTGAAGGGAGCAGGTAGTGACTCCACGAGAGGCAGTGGAGGCGGCTGATCAGCATAATTTGTGCCTTGGGTTTAGGATTTGGCCGCTGAGCTGAACACAGAGCGATGGCACAGCAGAGGTCCACAGGGACAAGGGACACTTCAAGGCAGGATAAGGCATGTTGTTTGTGTTTGTTTCCTCTCCAGCGCTTTTGGACTATGACTGCACCTGCTCTCTTTCTATGTTTAAAACCCATCGACAACATGGCACGACATGTGCTTCAGAATGCCGCAGAGAGCGAAGACATAATGAGATGTCCCTCACAGCTGGCCAACCTTCTTCACACAATCATCCAGGGCATTGATTTGATGGGTTACACAATGGTCCCTGGCATAAAAACAGGACATCTCCGAGACAAAGTGTACAATAAATAGAATCACTGCCATGGCAACAGGAAATCTGCCTTATTTCTTTGTAAGATATCCGATCTAGCACATGAGCTTAAATTAACAATTTTAGTTTTTACGGTGGCTGACAGGGGCGAATGCGCTACAATGGCCCAAAACACTTATGGCGCATTTCCACTGCAGCGGGTAGTCCCGTTTAAGCGTCCTCAAGCGGCCAGGCCTGTTTTTGGTGGCCTTTCCATATAGTGTAGCACCGGCTTTTTCCGGCCGCATAAAATCGTGGTTCTATCAGGGCCAGGGCTGAACTAGTGACGTCAACGCTCTCGACTTCTGATTGGTCAGAGAGAATCGTCACAAGATCGCGCGCAAGATCATCCCTAGCGTCGCATATATATCTAGAAGCAAGCTTGCAGCATTTTTATATACAGCATTTTGTAAACGGAGGAGCTACAAAAATGGCAACGTCGAAGAAAAGCACACCGTGGTCGACCGAGGAGGTGACGACGTTCCTACATCTCATTGGGGATGATAAAATCCAGCGGGAGCTCGACGGGAGCCCCGCCTACACTGCGTTGCTACCCCAGGTCCTAAACTGTAATGGAAATGCGCCACGGCCTTGGACGGCCACGTTACATTAAGAGTACCTCGCTGCGGTTTAAAAAAACGATGCAAATATAAATACACAATATAAATATGTTAATATAAAAATGCAAATGTGTCATGCAAATGAAGAACATCTTCACCAACTTGACAACACACATGCACAGCATGTAGAAATCTTTCAAAAACGTAACGAAACAAGCGCAGGGATTACTAAAAGCGCTGCATAAACAAAACGCTGCAAGAATCTCAAAACAGCACAAAAACGGGGACTCTAAAATGTGACGCACACAGCTTGGACCGCAGTGCTTGTTGGCGTCATGGATGTATAATAAGAACTGGATACAGCGTGGGAGGCGGGGCCTCATTCATTCCTATGAGAGTTGCTCAATGGCGCATGATGACAAAATGGCCCAA